ATTATGTCAACGCATCCAGGCCCAGCTGGAGCTCGGTCCTCGGCTCCACTCGCATCTTGTAAATGCACGTCTGGCCGCGCCAAGTGGGCCAAGCGGGTCTCGTGTGACGCATCATCAACATGAGCTCCTCGCAAGCACAGCCACCGCCCGGGGTCAACCCCACCAACTTCGCCCGGCGCGCCATTGGCCGCTCCCCGGAGGAGCATGCGGCCCTGGAGAGGGTCCTGGCAGAGCGACGACGGCGCCGCGGGGTCGCAGGTCGCGGAGACGGCAGCAGGGCGAGAAGTCGCTCGCCTGCGGCTGGTCCCAGCCGGGAACGGGCAGACCTGGCACAGCAGCACCGGGAGACCGAAAGGCGGCTGAGGGAGCTCGAACGACAGCAGCAGGAGCATGACCTGGGGCAGCGCAGACGGAGACAGGAACAGCGGCTTGCGGCGCAGGGACGGCGAATCGCGGCTCAGGCGCAGGCTCAACGGGTTACCGGCGGCCTGTCCGGAGTCGGTGATGGCCATGCGCTACTAGCGCTGCCCGTGTCACAGCGCCGCGCAACTTTGTTGACTCCCTTCGGCTCCACTGGTGTCAGGCGCCGGGCTAAGGGGAAGAGCGAGGGCGCGGGCTGGCACAAGCGAGCGAGGATATCGGGACGCTGCTGGCGACATGTGGATCAATGTCAGGATTGGCGAGGAGTGCAACAAAGGGCAGGATGTTTGGGAAGGCGACACACTAACTAGTTGGCTTTGTGCGACAAGTGCAACGTGAGTGCAAACACTTTTGGGTTTGGTCTGCGATAAGGGATTCTATTACTTACTGGATATCACATGGAAGGGTTCCAAGAGGGATCTGACTACGGATACCAGGCGAAACAGGGTGCTCTGGACTGGGACCTGCTCTTCCGCAAGAAGTCTCTTCGCCAGCTTCTCGAGAGCCTTGAAGAGGCTGGGCTGGAAGACGGTGATGTCCTCGTTCGTGACTTGTTTGGTGGCGGAGAGATGGTTTATTATCGACTGTATGATGACGAGGGCACCTATGTGAAGCATGCATGGTAGGTTGTTATTTCAGCGGAGTGTACAATATCAAGAGCTCGGAGGTTCTGAAATATAGGGATGAGCTAGTCTCAATGTGATCTCAACGACTTGTCATACCAGAGCCTCGTGGACCTTGGGTATGAAGGGATCTACCTAACAATTATACCGTCGCGCGAGCGTGGAAATACTGGGCGCAGCGACGTAGCTGGCCGACCGTCCCTGAGATCATGGTGCTGCACAGCGAAGGGGCGCACGATGTATCTCTTCTTATTGTTCGAGACGATTTATATGGATCTAGTCATAGAATTGATCTAGTTCTTCTCTATTGACGTAGAACGAGACAGAACAGGCATACTGCGCAGAGCGTAAGGCAAGGCAAACGAAAGAAAGAACCACAGGAAAAGAAAACAAGTAGTGTTCGGAAGAAAAGTTCTGGTACATAGCCACATGTGTAGAATAAGCACATTCATAGAAAGAACCACTTTCATCCAAAGCTACTTGTCTCGAAATTAGAGGTCCCTAGTTGTTCTGCTTCGTTAGTGATCTGTTATGCAAGGGATAAGTGCTAATTCTCCTCAGAGTTGACCTCATCCCTGCACATCCTAGTTCCGTGTTCATTCACTTGCCACTAAGAATGGCGTAGGGCCTTGGGTTCGATGAGATGTTAGAAAAACCTGTTCAGGCCGCCCTCAGCCAAATAAAGTCAATACTAGGGCTCGTGGTTTCAACCTGGAATAGTAAAGGAAAGTGTTAATACCCACATTCCCCACACATTGAGCTTTATTCCTGTATGTGCTAAAACTCAAGAATTAGCTTACGTGTTACCAGAGAATGAAGAATAGGAAAAGAAAATGAGGGAAAGAGGGCTCAGTTTGAGACCGCCGAGACAGTGCATCGGATGAGGAATTAACAGCTGAGAGTCGCTTACCAGACCAGGAGATATTAACCCGAGCATCAGCATCCCACCACTTCGGGGCGACCTCGTAGCCGACCAGGAGGCCCCCAAGCTTCATGGTGGAGCAGTCGAAAGGCTGAATACCGAATTCCGTATACGCAACCCCGCTCCCTCGAACAAGCTCGCTGGCAATCCAGCGCCCCTGGTAGCCGGCGATGTTCGGGTGGTGAGTCTCGTTCGTGGGGCTGTCGAGCTCGAAGAGCTCCAGCTGAGCACTGTTCACGCTCTCGTCGACCGGCGTGGGCTGAGCACCGTCGATGCGGTAGGACAGCTGGCAGAGGCAATTCCGCTCGTTGATGTAAGCTGGGAATCGGAAGTTCACGTGCGTGTGGAACTGGGACGTAGATGTTTGGATGGCCACGCCGGAGCCATCTGGTGAGATTACCGGCGTGAGAGTTGAGTTGTCAACTGCGAAGGTGCTTTCTGGGTAGACCTCTTCGAAATATGGCGTTCCATGAGACGCAAAGATCGCGTTGCCGTTGACGGGAATGAATGTGTTTCCAAGTGACCAGCCTATCAAGCCCAAGTAGGGCAGTATCATTGAAAGCTTTGCCATGGGAGACGGCGGACAAAAGATTCGGTTGCTCCAGCTAAAAGAGGTTCAGGATGTTTTCGAATAGAGATAGATCTGCTTCGTCGTGCCTTCTCTTGGTGAATTTGTCTGTTCAAACATTCAGCTCTGAATCATATGCCCCCTTTTGATTAGTGCTTATTTGCTTCAGGTTGCTCAGTAAGCCATTACGAGCTGGTTTGTCACTTGATGGGAAACACACTGGCTGGCTCAGCTGACCGGTGTCTTTCGAATCCTACGCGGAGATACATGCCACTTTATTGGCCAGTAGCTCATTCCTTTCAAGCTTCGAAGGTACGATATACCGCACTGTCGCGCAATGGAAACATTTGGAGGGTTACATTTTGAATGTCGACGAGGTTTGCTCATGTATCCGCTCCGCGGCCACAGCATCTACAGTTCTCACTACCCAACCATCATAGGGGGCTCAGCTGCCCAGTGGAATTTTGTTCTTACCTCCTATAGGATAACCTCCTATGGGATTACCTCCTATGGGATAACCTCCTAATAGACAACCTCCCTATGGGACACCCTCCTAGGGGGAAACCTTCGTATAGGCAACCTCTTATAGGATAACCTCTTATGGGAAAACCTCTTATAGGACACCCTCTCATAGGATAACCTTCGAGTAGAAAAACTCCTATAAGATAACCTCTTATGGGATAACCTACTGTGGGACAACCTCCTATAGAGTAACCTCTCTTGGCAAAACCTCTAGTCGGAAAGTCTTCTTTGGAATAAGTTCCTATAGAATTACTACCTGAGATGTAGGCAAGCTACAGGGGCACCACAATGGCGGTTCCGACTTTTTCTTTTTTTAAATGTGGCTGCATTAATGTAAGAAGGTCTTTAAGCGTTTACCACTGTATGAACGGACCGCCTATGTACTGCTTAAGAAGCGCATATATGCGTATTCAAAACGAAACCACTTACTGTGATGATGTATGTGATAGTCTTCACGTCGACAACAGCAACATTGCCTGCTCAACGCATTCGGGAGAGGGTGATCTTGATCAGAAGATCCCTAGTTAGATAGAGATTCTGCGCGAATAGCGGCCAGACCAGTTAAGTGAGAGGAAACACGACACTAGTTCTGGTTTTCTGACTTTGAATATATCCTTTTGTCATCTGGGTTCCCAAAGTTCTGATCGCGGCCGAGTCACCCTCCCCACCAAGGTGCACGGTTCACCTACCATGAAGACGACGGCCGTCCTGCTACTAAATACTTAAAGATTCTGCCCTCGACTGTTTCAATTGACTTGACTGCAGCTCGATCTGAGTCTAATTTACTCGGTTAACCTGTGGGTAGCTAAAGTGTTCTTCACGATGAGCCTTGCCCGAGTGTCCGCTATGCATCCTCGTCATCTGTTGCGAATTTGCACTGAGGCGGCTGAAAGCACTCACTTTCCGAATTAAAGTTACGGATTCATTATCAGGGGATACAACAACATTCCCATAGGATTATTGTGCCGTTAAAGTGATCTACTAAGCTTCACTGTGTTGACGTGACCAGGCGTCTTAAAGGTCTAAATCTTCAGAGTTTGCCCTGAAGAATAAATCCGCGTGGTAGTAAGTGCTGTTCCGTGCGCGTGAGCGAAGAGGTCTTGCTACCTCGAGTTACCTTGCAATTCTGCGCAGCCGGTGGTAACAACATTCCCATAGGGCAGCCTCCCACTGGATAACCACCCATTGGATGCCCTCCTGGAGGTTATCCCTTGATAGGATAGTCGTCGGTAGAAGTACCTCCTCTGGGATAAAATATTAGAGGACAGCCTCTCTATCAGGATTTGGATGACAGCAATCCGGTTGCCGTGGTCATCGTCGATTCGAACTGGTCCATTACGACAAGACTTGTGGGATTCTCTCGCGGTTTGAAATGTTTGAGCGTAAATAGTGCGGTGCAAACAATGTTTAACCAGGGTCTCCGTGCTTTCTGCAGGCAAAATGCTGGAACAAAATCAGACTAGCCTTTGCCGACCGCTAGTCGGATTGCGGTTCGACATTGGAAAAAAAAAAAAAAAACTTGGGTTGGAATTAGTTTTCCCCTCTTGAAACAACAGTAACGAGTTCTTCACTGCTGCGATCATCTTCAACTGAGGGGTTGAGTGAGACACGTCTATGCCGAGCCAACCTGGGAGTGAGGCGGTGGTGGCACAAGTCAGCAATGGTGGCTGGGCCGGCTGGCCGGGTGGGGTCAGTGCGGCGCGGAGCCGTCGCTCTGAACGTAAGTCTCGCCCATTTCCGTTCAGCCATACAATCGACAGTTCAGAATAACAAACATTTCAAGTTGCCGAAAATGTCAGGGATCTTTCAATCAATCAAATTCCGGGTTTGATGGTCCCGCACGGACCATTCCTGGTTGTGGGACCTCAGCTGCGTCGGCTAAGGTTTGAGTGGGCGGGCTGCGCCACATACATAGACCCGCTCACAACCGCTTTTCTCAACAACTGGCCTGGTGGTCTAGCGGTATGATTCGCGCTTCGGGTGTTCAATCCGATACGTTCTAACGTATTTACTGTGCGAGGTCCCGGGTTCAATCCCCGGCCAGGCCCTGAGTCCTTCTGGATTATCTTTTGCTTCATTTTGTTTTGATATTCATTATTTTTGTCACCATGACTGGACCAGCCTGGCTTTGGGCACGTTGTACACCGTGCGTAAGTAGTCTTTTGCACAGCCACACTGTGTGTTTACTCCAGAACTGCTCCCGTTGAGTGCCAGCCCATCTATCCTTTTGTCTACTCGGTATAAGGGATATATCTACCTTTTTCACCAAGCTCTATGTCCCCACACATTAACACAACTGGGGGCATGCTTTCCTGACCTAAAAAGACTGTCTCTCATTGCTCTTTGAAGAAACAGCAACAACAGAATGCTGTTTTCCCTGAGCATCCTATATTTTCATTACATGTTCTCTAAACCCCCCCCCCCTGGAACAAAATAATGCCCTCTAATTGACCCCTCAATCCATAATTCACACACTGATTTACACAGTCTTGAGGTATTCACCCTGTGTCTGTAAGCTGAATGGGCATTCTTTTCATTCCTCAGCTCTATGATCTCATCATATCCACATCATTGACCATCTATATGTTACCACAACCAGGGGTCTTTCAAGCATCATCACCCTGATACCATTGATTAGTACAAACAAGATAGACCATACCTTAAACAAATTCACATTACACACTACAACCGTCCAACATGTCATCTGCAATCCACCTCTACACCCTAATGCAGCTATGAGCATCATCACAAGAGTAACACATCACCTGCTTGGAGACCGACAGAATCTAGTCTCAGACTTTGCTCTAAAAAGGCACTGTAGACCTACTTTAAACTAGACTAGGACACCATAGCCAGCCAGCATAAGACAGGCCAAGGTTGTCCATTTCAGCTGTCAGCCACATCTGTATCTAAACTAATCAATAGTAGCCACATAGTACCTAACACATGTTTATTCCACATAAAAAATGGAGATGATTCCTACAGAGGCACATTTGGTGAAATATAATTTAGCAATATAGGACTACCAAGAGATTAAAGTAGGGGGGCTTGCCGAAAAGAATGATAAAGGGAAGAAGGACAAAGTGACTTCAGGAAAAAGATAATCCAGAAGGACTCAGGGCCTGGCCGGGGATTGAACTCAGGAAGTCACAACACAGCAAGTGATAATATAGAAGATTGTGACATGGAAGGCCATGACATAAAATGCTGTGATACAAAACGTCATGACATAAGAGATGATCAAACAGCCTAAGGAGGCCACTGATAACACATGTTTATATAGGTGATAATGCATCCTGAAATGTTCAGGGTGGTCACATGGTCTGAGTGTGAGTCTGTTTATGGTGAAGCTCTACCGCTGCTCTCTGTGTGTTGACCAATCTATAAATACTAATGGCGTTTTCTGTGTGGAACATGAAGTTCAGCCCTGACAAGACATCTTATGATGAAATCCTGTTGGCAAAAATATCCAAGTTGACAGCACCAGCCCACGTGCATTCGAAAACGTCTCAATCTTCAGAACGTTTTGGCATCGGATGTGGAAGAAGTTGGCTGACCTCAATTTCCAAAGGTCTTCCACGGCGCTGTTCATTCTAAGCCATTCCCCACGAGACGCTCTGGGTGTTTGCTCTGCATTGTCTCATTCGGGCTTCATTTACATAGCGGCGACTGCGAAGGTGACACCATCAGTTGGCTGACACACATAGGATATTGGCGATAAAATTTTTGAAACATTGAAACCCTTTTCCATATCTAGGGTAGTGATGTTGGCGCAAACATTTGCTTGCTTTGGCAGAGTTGTGGAGAATGCGCTTGCCTGTTCTCGGTCGTGAATTTGCGAGACGTCCTTAACAGCAGAGCAAAGGAACTTGGCACAACTCTGTTATCATGTTCACTCGGCCCAACGCCTCGGGGCCCAAGCTCCACAGTCGCCTTCTCCGCTCAGCCAAAACGTATCTCTACTCTTCCGCATTCCCACCTCAACCTTTTCAACCAAACGTCTCAATACCTGCAACCTCTTCAGCCGTGCATCTGCTGCAACAAGCCCAGCGACGTTTACTGCATTGCACTCTTCTCGCAGTGAGCACCAGTCGCCCCATCGCCAAGCTACGGGGTGGCCCGAGCCGAGCATCGAGCACCACGCACCAAGCTGCTGGACCTCGACACGCCCGAGCTCGACCGTCCCCTGGGCCTTGGCCTTGGGGCCAACGCCGTCCCTCTGCCTCTTCGCATTCTCTTCATTTCGAGGACAGGAAGAACCGTATCTCTGGCGGGGCTTCAAGCTCGGACTCGACGCCTTCTTAACGCGTCCAGTCCCTTGATCTTCGGAAGTGGTACCGTTAACCTCCTCTTGGAGACCGAAGCCAGGCAGGACCGCGTTACCGACACGGGACTGGCTGCTAAATTGGTGTCACTGGAACTGACTGTTATCAGATCTAGCGCTCGGGGCTTCTTTACCTGCACGCCACTTCAGTTCTGTCTACATTGAGCCCTGTCCTGCTCGGACCCTCGCTTCCTAACCCGCACACCCTGTTCGACCCGTCGCTCCATATTCGACCCCCAGGCGATTTCACTCACACGGAGTTGAGGCTACTCCTAGCTACTATCGCTGCCCAAAAGCCAGGGAGTGCAGGAATCCTGCGTGTGCTTGTGTCCTCAGACGCTCGTTTCACGCAGGGGAATCCCTTCAGAGAAGCTTGCCTTGCGGAGTCGACAGAAGCCCATTGTCGAATACTCCTACCTTGTGCCACTGTTTGATAGACCAATACTTACTAATGCGAGACTCATTTCTTCAATAGTACCAGCCATGGCAGCCGCGCCGTCTGTCACTGAACATCCGAAGACAGGTTATCGTCGGCCCGCGGGGAGACGATGCCCTCGAACCAGAACACCTCGAACCCGGTTCTTGTTCCTTCCACTCGTCGATGACCGTATTCTTCGATTCGTCCTCCAAAACAGCCTTCTTCAAGCTTCAGTCGCCCGTTATCTTGCTGGTTCCATCCTCGCAGACCGACCACTTTGATACCGTGAGGTCCAACGTGCATCTGTGCATCCGCCCCGAACATATCATCTCGCTTGTGCATGACCGACCGGAATTGCCAGAAAGCCTTGCTCCACTAGATAAGAAGATTGAAGGCCAAGAAACAATACGTCTAAAATTGAAACTCTCTAAGCCTCCAGAATGGATCGTTCCAAGTTTCGAGACTTTGATGCCTAAGACGCATGAAGATTCCCACCTGCGAGGTGCTGGATTTATTTGGGGAAAAAGCCGATCATATGGTCAGTCGCCTAGAAGCCGTGATACTAAAGCCGAGAAGAAGGAGGCTCTGCTCAAAGAAAGGATAGCCGAGGCAGACCAGAGGCAGGTCCAGCTGGCTGAGGCCACGGCCGAGGTCGAGGAGTTACAGTTAGAGCAGCTTAAGCAGTATGTAGATGACCGTCTCGAACGGACGCGTGTAGAGATCCGTGAGCTCATTGACGAGCATTTCGACGAGCTAAGCGTCGACGTCGTCCTCACATCCGAGATGGAAGAGTACGTTGATGAGGCGATCAGGGCAGCCGAAGACGATCTACGGGAAATGTTGAGTGGTATTGGAGTCAGAATGATATTTAACGACTCGATGAGAAATGATATCCGTCTCGACGCTTCTTGTACTCGGAGCATTCTTGCTCAAAGCCGCGTGGTTGGCGACGCCGACGAATGCCTTCGTGCGCGCTGGTTGGTGTTTCCTCCAGTCCCCAAGCGAGCATATCAATGATAATAGGCTGCAGGTAGGACCGCCACTATCTCATCCGAGCCTACGTACAAACTTGATGAACTACAACACCAGACCCCAAAAATATCCACGTAGACCTTTCAACAGATGGATCCTCCTGACCAGCCTCCAAGCCTCGAGAACTCGCTGCCAAGCGATGCCTGCGCAGTATGCGCGAAATTGCGAAGGATGTTTTCAGATTGCGACGAATCCTGTGGAAGTGAAACAGTTGACGGGTCATTCGAGACATTTTTCGAAGCTACATGTTTGGGCCATGGTCCTTTATTTAAGAATTTTCGAAACGACTTTATGGAGGAACTCTCCAAGCACTGTGAGACGCATGAGGATAACACGACAAACAATGGCGGTGCCGACGCCGCGCAGAGTAGAATTGGCGAGCACTCTGTGAGGATAGAAGCCAGTGAGGGCGATGAGAGGAAAGAAAGCCAAAGGAATGGACTAGACCAGAAGCCCGGCTTCATAACCTGCCAATTCGAAGTCTGGTTCACTTCGGATAATACCGATGGTCCACCCACCCCAGTGATCATTGTACACTTTCTCTGCCGACCGAGGTTTTTGAGGATGTGGAAAGTCTTGATCGCTAGATCCTGCGATGAGCCTCAGACGCCTGGCTTTGGGAGAGCTATTGACCCAGAATGGGTGGATTTGGGGCTGGCGAGGCGATGGAAAAGAGACTGTCTTACACAGCACAAAGACAAGTGCCGGAACCCTTTCACAATCAACGCTGTATCCCCGGCTTGGGTGATTGACACAGCGTTGAAATGTATCGTTCCCGGTGTCAACATCTCAGAATATGTCGCGCTGAGTTACAGATGGAGTGGTTCGGCTGGCTTTCGCACGACCCGCCACCTGCTGAAGGATCTTCAGAAACCAGGAGCATTATCGCAAGGGTCGAGGCTCGGCAACTCTATGGCCCCCATCCTCCGGCATGCGATTGAGCTCACACAAGCCATCGACGAACGCTACCTCTGGGTGGATGCAGTCTGCATAGTTCAGGACGACGAGACACACCTGCTCACACAGCTCGGATTGATGGGTGCCATCTACGCCACGGCAAAGCTGACAATCGTGTCCTGCGATGGCGATGCAGTCGACGGAATTTTGGGCCTCAAGGGAATATCACCTCCGCGACGGGTCGATCAGAGATTGACACCCGTGTTTGAGCGTGAAAAGGTCATTTTCCACCGCCGCCCTGATTTTGAGACCGGGGCTTCGCCCTACTTCGATCGCGGCTGGACATTCCAGGAGTTTTTCCTCTCCCAAAGACGTCT